GGAGGCGGGCGGCGCTCTCGCGAGATGCCTCGCGCGGCCGTAGGGAGGCGCCTGTCGTGGCGGGCCGGGGTCCTGCTGCCCGCGGTAGCTGGGGCGCCTCCTGCGGTGCCGGCAAATGGAGGCCTGGCACAATCAGTGACAAGAGAAGCGTTCCGCTGTACCTTAAATATTAAGAAATTCTTTTACCAAACAATGTTTGGCTTTGTATTTAATAAGCCTCGAGTGATTAAAATGTACGGAGAAAATATCCTGACCTTGAGAATAGATGCATCCTGGCAGAAATGCTCAAACGAGGCGGATAAGAGAGAACAGCTTGGCTGGACAACAGAGTTGGGAAACATCCAAGGAAAAGAAATAGTCCTCAAAAGGCTCACGACCATAAAAGGGAAAAAGGAGTAAGGGGCTAACTCCCCAACCAACCACTGACTGAGACCCCTGTGTATGTGTAGTGTAGTTTTGCAATGCCAGCATTATGTAAATGTTATAGGTAGAAAGGTGGAGACTTCTTGGAAAGTGTATGAGTATTTGTGTCTTTAAGGTGTATAAATGATGAACTTCTGTTCTAGTGTAGGCATGTTAGGTGGAATGATCCCCTGTGCATCCAGCACTGCAATAAAGAATGCCTGCTTTCTAAAACTCTAAAACAAGTCTTAGAGAGTTTGTCTGCTGGCTTTTACAGTAACAGATGTGCCCTCAGGGATGCCATTGCTGCTGTTTGTGCAGGCCTCTGTTACAGTGGAAGCTGCCATGGCGGCCACCCTTCGGTCTCACCCAGGTGGTGCTGCTCTGGGCGATATCTGGTAAGCCGTGTGCTTAATTTTGCTCACAACCAGGAGGTAAATGTTCATTATTGACACAGACAAGCTGAATAAAGTTGGTTGCAGTGTTACCTTTGAGGTTTGTGAGCGTCGCTCTGGCACAAGGATTTCTGATGGTCACTGTCTGTGGCTAAACAGTATTGCCACATTGCAGCCTTCCCAGCTTGACTCCTTAAAAATGTCCTCATTCTCCTTATTGTATATAGCAATTAAACCCCACAGCATTCATTCTGTGGAAGGTTTTTTTGGGAACATTCATTGTGACAAACTGTCAAAGCTTTGATGTGACTAATAACTACTCAATTTGTAATATGAGTTTCTAATTTGGCAGTAGGTTGTTACTTGCTATGAGCAGGTAGGCTGTCCTCTCATTTCCACAGGCTGCATGAAGGTACAGCAATTCAACAAAATTCAGTGTGAGACATCAAGGAACTGGAAGGTAATATTTATTCAGAAAGAAACAACTGATTTTGGTCCCACATACCCATTTCCTCGAGTGCTTCACTCGTATTTTCTCATATTGTATCGTATTTCTTTGGCTTGAATACTCGCCAGCTCCAAGTTGTGTGTCCAAATAGCATAGCCAGGATGGTTGGTGTGCAAGAGTATGCAGAGATCCAGTCCTTTCCATTGCTGTTGAGCCCTTACTGTCTCTTGGCATCCTCTGGGTTGGTGATGACAGATTGCATTCTGGGCAGATGTTTTATGATCAGGATTTAGAATAACATGATCTGCTGCTTCCTTCCAATTCTTGATTACTTCAGCTTCCATTAATCTTAGGCAGGGTTGCTCCCTATTTTGGATTATCTCCATGGCTATATTCTGCCTTTCTGTTGTGGCGACAAGGACGGCATTCACAGTGTGCTCTGCCCTTGCTGCCATCTTCCTGTTCCCAGAGCACAGGCATCCTGACAAATCACCTGTGGTAGTGCCCTTACAGGAATGCAGGCCTTGTGCTTTCTGTTTACACAGTACAGACCTCAGCGTTTCCAGTTTTCTGCTCTCAGTTGTGCTCTTGGACATTCTTTTAACCCTTGCCTTACTGCTTTTATGCTGTTTTCACATATAGATTGTTGTTCACAATTCATTCACACCAGTCCTAACTGTTTTGTTGCAGTCCCTACATCAGCAAAGACAACTGCCTCGTTTCCAACCCATGCAGACCCCCACACTGGGGGTCCCTGCCTGGGCAGCGTCACGGTGCTGGAGCCAAGGCAGGACCCCAGCATACCCTGCAGCCAGCCCCGCTGGCCCTCCGCAGCCAGCTCAGCCGCTAGCCTGCAGGCCTCGCCGCCAGCCGTCCTCACCCGTCACCCTGTGCCACCAACCGTCCCTTCCGGACACTCTCCAGAGGAGCCCAGCTCCGCCTGCTCCCGGGAGGTGATGACCCTCGGGCAGAGGTAGGCCTGGCAGGTCCGCCGCCCCTGGCTGACAGCGGGTACCCTGCGGGGTCCCTCCCTCCTCCTCTCCTCGGGCACCCCCGGGGCCTGGCTGCGCCCACACCCCTCCTCTTCTTCCTCCTCCTCCTCCTCCCGCCAGCCTCGCTGCTTTCCGCGCTGGCGGCCCCGGCAGCCCTGCCCCGGCTTGGCCCTGCTCCGGCCCGGCCGCACGGCTCCCCCGGCAGAGGGGCCTGCCCGGGAGGATGGTTTGCCCCTCACCCCCCTCTTCCTCCTGAAACAGATGGTTTGATCTTGCGCGCAGCGTAGCCGAGGAGCGCGGGAAAACGGGTTGCTAAGCGACCTGGTTGCGAGGCGGTGGCTGCGGGGCGGGGAAAGGGAGCGGCGACCTGGAAGCTCTATCATCTCCATCCGCTTCCGGGGCAGCCCCGGACCTGGTCACTGCTGGCGGTAGGGGGCGGCCATTTTCCCGGAGAGTGGAGTTGTGGGGCTCTCCTGCTGGCGGCGGCGGCGGCTGCC